CCCCATGAAGTTAACCAGTGGCCAGAAATACTGCCAGAGCCCACCCAGGCTCTCCGGGTGATGACCATGAGGCCCAAATGCAGTCTCCCAGCCCAGCCCCAAGAGCCCCCATCCCGTGAATCCAGCCATCAGGCAGGGGAAATGAACTTCAGACCCCCAGCTGCTCCAGAAGATGGAGGGCATGAAGGCGAAATGTGCTAAAATTTACCAAAACATCTGGCTTTTCACACCTTCTAAATCAACCACAGGAAAACACTCCCCTCCTTTCATTTGTGGTTGAAGGCATCAAGGTATGGAGAGAAGGCAGAAGTATGCACTTAAAAAAAACAGTGGACCTAATGAGAAAACAAGGCTTAAGGAAACTGGTTTCAGAATGACAATGTAAACCATATGACACCTGTACCAGTGCGCCCAACATGCAGCCGCACCGGGGCAGAGAGCATGAGGAGGGAGGCACGGCTCCCCAGAGCATTTAGGCTTTTTGCTTTCCAAGCAAGACCAAGGCTGCCAGTCACCATCTACGGGCATGAAGCATGCAGCTGTCCCCTGAGACCCCTTCCCTGCTGCCCCACGCACCCAAAAAGGAGCATGAAGAATGTAAATTACAAACCAGACCTTTGCTGTCTTGTGCATCTTTTGATTTGTCCATCCATCCTACCATGAATTTATTGTCCTGCTGAGAGAATGAACCCTGAATTTCATACACATCAGGGAAAGAACTAAGAGGGTAGATTCTAAAGTAATGCAGAGTCTGACAGAGGGTTTCTTACTTCCCTCTGCTTCGCTTAATTCCAAAAGGATGACAAGCATCAAAGTGGAGAATGTGGAGAACTGGGGTATTTTTCAGTCATTTGGTGCCCCAGTCTGCCTCCTACTGCTTGAAGCCAAGCAGACTTGGTGTCTCACCCTCTGTTTGCCAAGCTGGGCCACAACAGCTCACATGAGACCCAGACCCTACTCTGTCGTGGACAATCTTCCTTGTGCATTATTGAAGATTAATATGAAATCTTCAGGCTGGGCCCAATCAAAGGAAACTCAGCTGGGAACTGTTTGAGTAATAGATTCTGGTGGGGTCTTAATCTATCTGCTAAAGTTGATGGATTTCCATTCCAATGACTCTCAGGTGAAGAAAAACATCAAAGTGAAAACCAGATTCTAATCGTTGGCAGGTGTGCACTGATCGCCAACTGCCCTTTCTGCACCCTCCTCCCCCAAGCAGAAAACACTACAAATTTTGGAGAGCTCACTGGGGATGCCACATAGCATGGAAGTCCAGATAAACACAGAAGAGCTCGCACTAGCTCTGAACCCACACGCTGGTCTCAGGATGTGTGCTAGCGTGGAGGAGAGGGGAGGGCAGATGTGCATCAGTACCTGCTGCCCCTCTATTTAAGACAAGCAAGAGCACTGCGCTCCTGGTGGGTGTAAGGGGTGGGAGGCTGGGGCCTGGGAGCAGGTCCTCTAAGAGAAGGTGGTACCTTCACGTGGGAAAGCAGTGAGCTTGGGACGCACGTTCTGGAGCTCAAGTTCTAAGAGAGACAAGTACCTTTTCCACAACACGCTTCCATTCTGGTTCAGATGAATCACTACAGACAAAAAATCAAGACCCCGGCCTCGAAGTTTCACAGGGGCCCCTGGCCTTCCCGCTGTGTCGATCAACCCCAGCGCCCCCTAACGGCAGCTGTGAGGATGTGAACACGTGACCACTGGGGGCCGGGCCAGAGCCCACCATTTGAGACCAAAAAAAAGACTCAGGGAACTCAATCTTGTGACGAGCTTGTCACAAAAGGAATCAGGGGGTCCAGAGAAAAGGAAACAGCTTCCATCTGATGCCCAGGCCTCTCCAGCCACCCTCTGCCCCCACCCCTAGCTCTCCTTCATTTCCAGGAGGCAGGGAGGAAGAACTCGATGAACATTAATCTCAATTTAAAAACTGCTCTCACACAATAATCAAAACGAGACAATTCTGGGCAAGAGATAGTATCGCCAGTTTTTCCTTTTTGTAGATTAGCCCAACCTTCTCTCGTGTCCGGATTAGAAATTATCTCATGCTTTCAGACAGCTCAGTCCTAATCTAGCAACATATGTCCCAGTATTTATAACACCAAGAGAAGTGACTCTGGACTGGTGTGAGGTCAAATGACAGCCTGGAAAGCCACACTTCTGCTTCCATCTCCCGAGACCACTGCTCTGTCTCCTCCGAGAAGGGAGAGGAGGGGAGATGGTGGGAGACCCAGGAGGAAGTCAGATACATCATGGCCACGTGAGTAGGTGCCGCAGGAAGCAAGCGTGGGTGTCTCCCTGGCCAATACTGAGTAATCTGCCAGGGAGCCAAGCCAGGGCAGGGTGGGGGCGGGGGGCTGTGGGGAAGGGGCGAGTGAGGAGGGCCGTGTGTGAGCAGCCGGGTGCCTCCCCGGGTCAGCAGCATCTGGAGCTGTTTCTCTAGCAGACAGTCAAGAACTCGATTATATCCAGTTAACTGTGCTCTAAACTGATTATGCATGTGCTGGGCTAATGGATTACATTAGCAAGAGGAAAAATAACATGCAATCAATCTCCATTTACCACAGGCCACACCAGGGCCTAGAGAAAAACTGACTCTCCAGCCACCTCCAATCCCCACCCCAGATCCGAGGACGTGCGAGACCCTGTGAGAGGGACCCCCTTCGGTGGCCAGAGAAGTTGGTCTGAGTCACACTGTGGGACAGAAAGGCCTGGGGCAGACACTGAAACAGCCAGTTTCCAGGCCACATCCAGGGGTGGGTGGGAGAGCCACGGGGACATTCATTACCCAAGGACTAATGAGACCAGTCAGCAACCTCTGGCTCCTGACACGGGGAGTTCTGCCCTGAGAGTGGGCGGGGGTCACCCTGGGACGCGCCGGCCCAACGCCCTGTCCCGGCACCTCTCCTTCCAGCACTGATTCCCACGCTCTCTCCTGCCCCCCTCCCCCCACAATCATGGCCCTGCCACTATGCTGCCTTTTTTGAGCATGAATTTTCTCCATATTTACAAAAAAAGAAAAAGAAAAAGATGAGCAAATTCAGGCAGGGGAGGCTGAGTGCCTGCCCAGAGTTCGTTCAGCAGAGCACGGATGGAACACGCACAGGCACCCTGCTCTCCAGGTGTGACCAGGGGACGAGTCTGGGGACCGACCAGGTATCCTTAGCGACTCCTCCAGGTTCCAGGCAGGCCCTTCGGAAGCAAAGCCCAGGGCTGGTCTGCTCTCACTGGAGGCCGTGGTGCTAAGAGTTAATGACCGCCCCATGCATTTTATGATCAAAAAGGCAATCTTTTTCCTCAGGTGGACGAGGCCATCTTCACACCACCTCTGGACGCCCTTCACCCAAGCTACACACAACCTTCCAGGGCCACACCCAGTCCTTCGTCCTAACTGCTCAGCTGAGTCCCTTGGAAACTTTTTTTCCCACCGGTTTCTCCATCAGGTTTTCGCGACCACACCGGCACCACCCTGTGGCCGGTGAAGACCACCGATTTAAACTGGTGGCAAGGAGCCTTCCTTTCAGGGGTGGCACACGGCCAAGCCGTCCAGTGAAGTTCTCTTAGGACAAGGGGGTGGGTCAGCTGCTTGGTTTCCAGACCTTCCCCTCCATGCTGCTCGAGCCCATCCCTGCCAGAGTCAGCGGTCAATTCCAGAACATTCTATTCCCACTACCTCATGCCCACTTTCTCTCCTTTCCCTAGAATGTTTTCACATGCACATTACCCAGGCCTCTCAACAAGCTGAGAACGAGCAACTGTAAAATAAATTACATGTATCAATCTTGGCAGAGGCCGACATGGGAAAAGGAGCAGAGTCCTCCTCGTTTGGAGTCTCCATTTAAAATCACCACAAGCAGAAAGGGGATTACAGTAGCTCAGGGCCAGGAGGAACTCAGCACCCACTAGCCCAAAGACAGGGCATCAGTGTGAAAGGAAAGAGGAGAGACTGATAATAAAAGGGAGGGAAGAGGGAAGAGGGAAGAGGGGGAGAGGGCGTGGAAGGGACGTGGAGGGAGGCTGGGCAGATTTATGGCGATTTGTACCTGATTGTTCATACTAAAGCCATTATGGGATGATTAGAGAAAAAGGTGAGGCTTTAAGTCCAGTGAAAATCAATAGAAACGTCTGGAGCAATTCTGCCGTGCGAGTGCAAGGACTATTTACAGTATCCAAGCACCTCCTCCTCCTTACTAGTCTGCGGAGGGAGAGAAAGGATGAAGGCGGCGGGGAGGACGGCAAGGCAGAGAGGACGCAGAAGGGGAGGAGAACCTTGGAAGAAGGAAGGAAAATCTAAGCACGAAGAAGAGAAAGGAGGCAGGGGGCATGGGAAGCAAAGGGGAAAAAACAAGGGGGCCCCTTACCTGACCCTATTTTTCCCCACAGCATTTACCACCTTCTAGCCTACCATATAATTTATTCATTGTGCTCATCACTCATCCCCCCAAAAAGAATGGAAGCTCTAGCAGGGCAGGGACTATCTATTTTGTGCTTGGATGTAGGCAAGGCATGTGCCCAGAACAGGGCCTGGTATACAGTTGGCACTCAAAGTGTATCCGTTGAATGAGTGAATGAACAAATCAACAGAGGACCACAAGGGGCATCCAGGAGAGAAGAGACTGAAAAAAGGGGAACAACCAGGTGGAAAAGGAGAAGAGAAAGACTGCAGGAGATAGGGAAGAGACAGCAGCACAAAGGTGAAGCCAGAACTAGGGAAAGAGCAATGGTGAGTGCGGGAAAAGGCAGCTCCCAAGACAGTGGGATGCAAGGGGAACAATATACAGTACTGGGCCGCTGTGAACAAAACCTGCCCCCCAGGTGGGGCACCCCCAAAGAGAACCTTCAGCTCCCAGCTGAAGCCTGCCACCATGCTGCAGCTTCCTGACGAAGCAGGCGCCAGGTCCCCTTCCAACATCAGGTCCCCAGCCAGACACCAACTCAGCAGCCCTCCCGGTCACCCAGGGACCCAACCCACTCCCGCCAGACAGCATGGGTCTTACCTTGTACAGCTTCAGGCTGGCCTCGTGCCTGGAGTTGACCGTGTGCAGCCGCAGCTTCTCCAAGCTGTTGGTGTAATAGTCACAGGCATTGCACTTGAGGTGGACGGGGTTGCCAATGGCCACGCACTTGAGCCGCCACTCGTTGGCTTTGCCGCCCTCCTTGATGTGGGCCACCAGCTGGTACTTCTGCACGTGCTTGTCCGTCTTGCAGTGCAGCTGGAAGTTGGCCTTGAGCTGGGTGTTGTAGCGGCAGAGCTTGCACTGGTACGAGTCCCCCATCACAGCCTTCCACTCGTCCTCGGGGAGGCTGCGCTCCATGTTCATGTGCAGCCCCAGCATGTCCAGGTTGTCCGTGGTGAACTTGTTGCAGACAGCGCACTGGAAGAGCTTCAGCGACGGGTCATTGGTCTGGATGAAGCTCTCGCCCAGGTTCATCAGCTCCTCCGACACCAGCTGCCCGCCCCCGAGCCGCATGTCTATGGGGATCTCACCGCCCACTGCGGGGAAGGAGAGGGGAGGAGAATCAGAGGCCAGGCTCACAGCTGCGGCCCTAACTGAGGCAGCACCCAGCCCTCCCCCACCCTCAACCTGGGTCCCAGGAGAAAAAGGATCATGTTTCAAGTGTCTTAAGGTGCTAACTGGGAAACCACACACACACACACTAAGCTTGATGTGTTCACATCTTTCCTATGGACATTCTGCAATCTGTGGAAAGCTCTACGCTTTTTTTTTCTTTTGAAAAAGAATGCTTAGAAAAAGACAGGAACCATTATCTCTTGGATCTGAGCAAGGAGCTGAATTGAAATACTCAAGAAAAGATGGAAAGAAGCATCATTCATTGGACATAATAGATACTGAAACTCTAGTTCCCAAAATGCTGTAAATGAGTTGCAGCTGCAAACTAAGATACCAAGCTTCGGTGGCCAAGCAGAATTGGGCCCAGAAAGCACCTAAAGCAGCCATGCCCAATGGAAATTTCTGTGAAGATGGACACATTTCCTATCTGCACTGTCCCACGTGCCTACTGAACACCTGCGATATGGCTAAAGCACAACTAAGGAATCGAATTTTTGGTTTTATTTTATTTTAATTCATTTAAGTGTGGAAGTCACCAGTCACACGTGGCTAGGGACTACCGTACTGGACAGCGCAGCTCTAAACCTGAGATTTCGGCAAGGATCCCCCTGTTCCTCACCATGCCCCGCCGGTCAATGTCCGACCTGCCCGTCAATGGTGCCAGCTCCTCCTCCATCTCCCCAAGAGTCCGGTCATTTCCTTTTTCTGAGACCCCGTACTGCATGAAACGTAGGTCTATTATGGGACATGTCACATTCTCCTTTGTCCTAAGTCAGCCCACACACATAGCCACGTGGTGGCCAGTTTCCCCATCAGGGTGCAGTCTCTTTAGGCAAGGGTCCAGTCTTCTTGCTGAACCTGTAGAGAGTATCCAGCCCCTGCACAGAGGCTCTTAATGTCTGCCTGTCAGACGGGGAAAAAGGAGCCAAAACGTTTCAGGCTCAGGAAGTGGATCGAGATGGACACTGAAATGCAAAGGTCAGCTCCTGGCCCCCCAAAAAGGGGTCCAAGAAAACTCTGCTCCTCCATCTCTACTGCTGTTCTTTTTCAGTCCATCACCGCCCTGCATAAACCAAGGACCAGCTCTCATTCACCAGCAGTAAATTAATACTCTGCGCTCTTATTTATATCACGAGAAAGGCTTGGAAAGAGGAGCCTTCCCTCCATTACCTAGAAGCAGACTCTCAAGCAGAAAGCTGCACGTCGGCTTCTATTTTTTGCTTCTCCCCTAAACACACACACACTCAAGCTATTATGTCTGCCCTTGCCACTCCCCTAACTGATATTTAAACTTGACCTTTTATATGCGTGGCTGGGCTGAGGTTACTTTTTTTAATGACTGATTAGAATCCAAGTTAGTGGCTAATCAAAGAAAAAAAGTTATTAAAAAAAAATTCTCATTTATGCCACACAAGATACTTCGAGTGAGGAGCTCAGCTCAGACTCAGCTGAGAGGAGTGGCTGCATCTGAAGCCTGCGGACAGTCTAGTAAACCACAGAAATCTTCTGCACATGCATTCCAGGAGACTCGGGAAGCTTTCTGCTTGCCTTCTCTCTTGCCATCTCCCCTGGTGAGAGGAGCCATAACTATGACATTCTTTCTAGGACAAGAGAGAAAAAGACAGGGGGTGGGGGGAGGAGGAGCCTAAAAGCTTCATCCCTTAATGGGGACAAAGGCTGGGCAGCATCCATGAAACATACACAGTGTTCAGTGAAAGAAGAAACTGCCCAGAGGGTGAGACAAGGAGCAAACATATATTTGTTTCTGATGCCGACCACCTGAAGCATCAAATCTTCTTCACTTTTTAAATTTAACCTCAGCACATCAATATCACTCTAAAGAGAAATTCAGCTGTCACTTGCTGGATGCGTGAGTGGAAATGAGAAGTCCTCGGGATGTGCAGAGGACATCAGTCCCTATTCCTACCCCAAGCTCTTAAAATGTAATGCAAATCAAAGAAGCAGAGAAGCAGTGAAATGAGGGTGTCAGGAAAGCCAAAATTCCCTTTGAGGACTGCACCCTGGACAAACACACCCAGGACTTCGAACCCAACAACAGAGCCATAGGGCCGGAAGGAATTAATTCAGCCCCTGAGAAGTAGAGGAACCTTACCCAATTCACAGCTGGTTGGAGGGGAGCCCCACAGTGAGAACGCTGTGGGGGCTGAACCATGAGCCACACTGGACACGCGATCTTGGAGAGGAGTGGGCCCCCTCTCCCCATACACACCCAATTTCAACGCTGGAAACTGACATCCTGGCATATGAGTCCACCCATTTAGCACATCCTAAGAGAGGCCCAGGAATTAAAAGACACCTTGCACAATCCAAAGCAGAATCAGAGGGGCTCTTAAAGCCCATGCAGGTCTCCTGAGGCTGGCTGGCTACTCGGGAAACACGTGGCTGCCTCGCAACCTACCCGCTTCTCGGTGCTGTGCTAAATTTTACTCCAAAGGGACATCTAGCAGGATGTTCACCTGGCCTCAAGTCTATTATCTTATCTACAAATAGGGGCAAATTCAACCAGACAAGATCAAGGGGGATGACCTCTTCCCCAAAGGCCTCTAGAAAGAAAGCATCCCCAGCATCGGTGCCTGTTGATAATAAGGAGAAGGTTCCAGTGAAGGAAGTATGTAAACATTAACTTTGGCAGCAGGAGTGTATGTCACAAAAACGTTTTTCCCCGCTGCAGAGCCCAGTAATACCTAATAACACCTACAGCCTTCTCGTAAACGGTCTAATCAGTAGAGATGCAGATGGAAAGTTACGGATCTTTTCAGCTGCATGTGTTGCTACTGAGACCATGTGACTTAAATTCTAAGTCCTGGTGGACGTGTCCTATCCTACCCGCACCCACGCAGGCTTCCAGCATGAAGTATCTGTTGCTCTCACTCCAATTCAACAGCTCTCGTGGCTTTTAAGGCAGACACAGGAAGTTTCCAGAGACTCACCTCGGCTGACAAGCAGTGACACTGGAAATTCAAGGGTCCTCTCCTGAGCTATCTGGATAAGGTCTTGAGAAGGAAAGACTCTAATCTCTTTAAGAAATAAAGTCCAGATCTTCTGTGTATGCACAGAACACGAGCACTCATTCTTCTGCTTCTTTTACATCTGCCATATGCCCATAAATGCATGACGCCCCACAGACTCACAGACAGTGGGTGTTAAAAGCAAAATATTCCTCTACCTCTCAATTCAAGCCTTAGTCAGAATTACTGGTTTTCAAGGTAATTAAAAAGTCCTCACTTTGACCCAGTATGAACCTATCCATTTTCTGTGTCTTCATTCCACTTACATTATATTTGATTTACTCCAAGATCTGCCTCCCCCAGATTTTAAATCTCCTGACGAGAAATCCCCAATTCCCACAGGCTTAAAAAAAAAGTCTCAGTGTACCAGTGGCATCCCCAGGTGTGCATCACCCGTGGTTCACTCTGGGGACAGATCAGATGATTGATCCCTCTGCATCCATGATTAACCAGTGGGTGAAACATCTTCAAATTGTTTGGTAGTAAAGGATCAACAGGTCAATATTCCAAAACAGAAAACAGGATTAAAGTAGCACGGATTCAAATTTAAATGCATAGCAGGAAAAACAAATTAAATGCTACAAAATGTAACTCATGAGAAACAAGTAGCACTAAAACACCACACAAATAAAAATGTGCCAGCTGGTGAGGTTCAGCCCTCTGCCGTTAACCCAAGCCACTCCACGAGAAAGGTACTTTTTCACACTTTGTTGCAGAGAATACCTTACTCCCATGTCAGTGAGGGGATCCTGCCTCATTCAGGACATCACTGCTGGTCCCAAGACGTTAGCGGGGTCAAGGAATGGAGACCAGGCAGTTCCTGTCCGAGGCCCGGGTAATGGGGGTGGGAAGGACCCAACTGTCACACTAGTCCTGAAGAAACTGGTTTGTACATTTTCTTGCTATCAGAACTCTCCCTCAGAAGTAGATGAGTCTTTTTACATAAAGACTCATGACTTCTGGCAACCAAATCCTATCCTCGTGGCCCCATTCTAGCTCTATTGAGCCGATCAGTGAGACGGCCAACTTGCCTGTTCTAACATGGCAACAAGAGCTCTGTGAACCAGGATCTGGTATTAAAACTTAGCTTTCTTTAATGCACAATTTTACAAGTTATTCACTTCTCATCAATCACACCACTCCTCACGGCGTCCCAGGGCAATTTCATTCCCAGCTATGCTAATGCCCAGGAACTCATGCAAAGAAAGAAAGAAAGAATGTGTCTCTTTCATCAAGAGCCTGGTGAAAACACTGGAGAACTTTGGGAAATGTGTCTGGGTGGGTCCGGGTCAGCTCAGAACCAGCCTTGGATTGTTTAAATAAGATACACTACGGTTTCCAGTTCCTCCTACAGAGACGACTGTCCCTATTAAAATCTCTAGCTACCGTTGCCTGTACATTTCAGTCAATCTTTAATGGCACCCCAAAGTGTAGGGGAACAGTGGCGATTTTTTAAACTGAGAAAGGGACAGAGAAAGACAGAATAGGAACAGAAAGGAAAGTTGAGCCAAAAACTAGAGGAAAACAAATTTTAATCACGGCCCATGGAGCCTGAGTGTCATGGTGTCTGTTGAACGTATGCCATCTTCCACGGGCTCACACAGACCGCAAGGGACTCTTGAGGAAAAGATCTGCTGGTTGGATGCTCAAGTTTAGCACAAAACAACTCTCAAGAAAATACAAATCTACCGAATCCACAGGACTTGACGGAATCAACAGAGGCAATGGGGCCTCGGCCCACTCTCAGCTCTCCCCGGTTCAACTCGCACCGTGAACAAACACACACGGAGTCAGCCTCACCTAGAGCGGGCGTCATGGCGGCCATGGGCCCCGTGGGATCCAGCTGGAATCCACTCATCACGAACTGGGCGTCCGAGGCGGCGCTGTCCATCTTCAGGTTGGGCAGGTTCATGTTCTGGGCCAGGTAGTACTGGTAGAGCTCGGCCTCGGCGGGCGAGGGCAGGCTGCCGAGGCCCAGGTGGCGGTTGTGTTGGAGCTGGGTCATGTTCTGCTGCAGCAGCATCATGTTATGCATGTGCTTCTCGCTGGTCATGTGGATGCGGAGGTTCCGAGCCACGTTGGTCTCGTAATCGCACACCTCGCACCGCCAGGTGGGTTTGGTTTTTGGTTTGGTGGGCGACGGGGCCCCGCAGGAGCTACCAATATTGGCTGCCGCCGCGGCCGCTGCAGCTGCCGCAGCCGCCGCCCCAGCCGTGTGGCTGAAGACCTGCTCCCCTCCTCCGTTCTGCAGGTTCTGCATGTTGTTGAGATGCTTGTCGGACTGCATATGAATACTGAGGTTGCCTTTGGTAGTTGTGGAGTAGTTACACACCTCACAGCGGAAAGGCTTGTAACCACACGTGTAGCTCTCGCCTCGAGCCAGCCGAGGGTGGGGCTGCCCGCTTTTGCAGTAGATGCAGGAGCCCCCCGGCTCTGGGTGCTTCTCCTTCATGTGTGCCTCCAGCGTCTGCTGGTACTTGTAGTGCCAGTTGCACTTGGGGCACTTGAGTGTCTTGCACGAGTTACGAGAATGCATCATGGTCATGTGGCCGCCCAGCGAGCGGGAGGAGCCCAGGACCGTATCGCATTTGGGGCACTCCACGCCACTCCCCGAGGGGCACTCCCCGACCCCAAGCTCGCAGAGGGAGCCAGCGTGCTGGTGATGGGGGACGAAGCCCCCATCGTCACCCTCTGTGCTTTCATTTGGTTCTGGTGCTGTGGCATTGTCTTTATTGGCACTTTCATCAGCAAAGTCCAGCCTCCTGCCGCCCTCTGCCACGTTGGCCCTGACGCCCTCACTGTTAAAGCTTAAACGATTCCTCCTGTTCGCACCATCAAAGACAACAAAGGAAGAAGCGGAATTAGAACTAGTAGAAGCTGCGCCCCTCGACAGGGTCTGGAGCACATTAGGCATTAAGGGGGAGTTAGAAATGCTTTGGTTTGAGAGAGCAAAGTCCTTTTTTCTGCTACTACCTGCCGCGGCCCCTGACTCCTCAGGGGGCCTGTCCTCCAGCTCATCATCCAACTCACTTGGAAAGAGTCCTTTGCAACCCTCATCTTCCTCCTCCTCCTCTTCCTCCTCCTCATCTTCCTCCTCCTCCTCTGCCTCTTCTTCCTCTTCCTCCTCCTCCGCCTCCTCCTCGGCTGGCTCTGCTTTCTCGGAGAAGCAATCCGGATCGCCCACTTCTTGCTTCTCTCCTTCTGCTGCCCCAGAGTCCTTGCCCTCTGAGGATTTGGTAGGACTGGAGGCCAGAGGCCCCAGGGGGACTGAGGTAATGGGGGTCTTCAGGACTGAGCTGGTGAGCCCGCCAAGGTTCAAGAGGGTGCTGGGGGTCAAGATGCCAGCCTGGGGCTGCTCGGGGCCGGCGGCGGGGCCGGCGGGGAGAGCCTCCTCCCCTTCCATGCGAATGCCACTAAATTTACCATAAAAACTGTGTCCGGGGCCTATGAGGTTAGCGGTGGAAACTAAAGGGAGTTGAAAGTTTTTGTTTTTTGGTTCCAGAAAACTTACAAGGGGTTCCTTGTCTTTGCCAATCCCTTGGATGATAGCGGAGATGTTCTTATTGCTAAGAATTTTCCGCTCGTCTTCGCTCAGGGTCATTCGATGGTCGTGCACCGCGTGGGTCACAAAGGAACGGACGTACCCGAAGGAGAGTTTGCACAAGAAACACATCAGGATGGGCTTCCTCTTGCCGTAGAGCACGAAGCCATCGAATTTGGACAGGTCCACATTGTTGGGAACATCTTTGGATACGCAGGAGCTTTTGGCAGAGCCGTCGCTGTTCAGGTAATCCTTGTTGCTTTTGTGTCGCACGTCGAAAACGCGGAAGCTGTGCAGGACGGGGCTGAGCCCCGACAGGGCTGAGGTACTCGGGAAAGCCTGGTCTGGGCCCTCAAACCATTTCCCGAAGGATGAGGCTATGTGGAACGTGTTGATGATCTGTGGGTAGACAGGTGCAGCACAAGAAGGGTCCCCTTGTTTGCCCCCCGCCCCGGGGAGAGAGTTCAGAAAGAGCGGGAGAGGCCCGCTGCCGCTGCCGCAGGTGCCCCCACCCTGGGTCAGCTGGCTCAGGCTCTCAACGATGTACGCCGAGCCGTCCGGCTGGTACACTATCTCCCCAGCCAGGTTCTCCACGTCACTCTCCTCATCCCCCTCCTCGCTGCTGTCGCTCCCGCTCTCCTCCCTCAGGGGCGGCGGAGGGTGCGCGCTGGGGCAGTGATGCTCCATGTAGGTCTGGAGGCTGGCGAAGGAGGCCGAGCACTCGTTGCAGCTGACCTCCTTGCCAGCGGGCTCGGCGGCAGGGCCAGCCGGGGCGGTGCTCTCCACGAGGCGCTCATTGAAGGGGGCCCTCAGGCTGTCCAGGGGCCCGTGGTTCTCGCTTGTGGACTGCTCCATGCTACTGGGTTTGTCGGGGAGGTGGGTGCTGTTGAGTTCAGTCCATTGCTGGTGCTGAGGGATACCGCACCCATTGTCCTTCCCCGAGACGACAGGCGAGTCACAGCCTTCCATGGTAAGGCCTGCGTGGAGCTTTCATTGCACCCAGTACGGATCGGACCTGAAGGGCGGAGGCAAGGGGGAGAGGAGGGAGAGAGGGGGAAGAGAGAGAGAAAGGAAAGAGGTTAGGAGGGCCGAGGCTAAGGTCCCGCACAGGGCGCTCTAATAGGCTTCTGTCCACACCCACTACAGAGACCACAGGGTCACGGGGACCCCGGCCATCGCCCCACCCCGTCCGGGCGCACAGGGCGGGCAGAGCCCCTGGGTGTCACAGCCGCAGCGCGTGGCAGGAGCAGGGGGCGCGGGAAAGGGGGCCTTAGAAGAATCCCTCTTTGTCTTCGGGTTGTCGGCTGCTCTACCTCTGGAGATCAGTCCGAATCTGTGTTCTCTGCAGGCACAGCGTTCGTCAGGGCCAGGCGATGAGCACAGGGGAGGAGGAGGACTGACTGCATGGTTTCACGCAGCCCCAGCAAGCACAAAGAACGGCGGCCCCACCGCATACAGATGGCAGCACGGAGCTGCCCCAGCTGCCCGCACTGTCTGTGGGCCAGGGGAGCACCGGGAACAGACGGACAGGAGGAGGAGGACTCTGCAGCCCTAGAGAAAGCACGGTCAGCCTGGGCAGGGACACGCCATTTGATTTAGGGGCGAAGTGGTGCTGACCGCGTTGCTAGTTTCAGAAGTCCACCAAAAAGGGCTGAGGGCTGCAGGGCCCAGGGGAAAGCAAACAGGCCTGGACACTCTCTGCAAAGCCCCTGAAGGGGCCAAAGGCTGCACTCATCCTCTCCGAGTCTGGGAAACATTGTTCCACTTCACAAGCAGCCCAGTGCCACCCCGATACTAAGAAAGGCAGGCCTCCCAATTCCCGTCTCCTCCCACAAGCCACAGGATAGCTCTGCTGGTGACTCAAAATATGTAGGTGCAAAACATGAGCTTGATATTTCTAGAAAGAGCCACCCAGACTCTCAACAGGCGAACTGCCCCACCAGCAGAGACCATCTCGCCCAGTCTGGATGGAGCCCGTTCACCACTGGCTGGGTGGTTTTTTGCTGTCAAGGATCTTAGCGGCGAGCTGAGATGGCAGCTGGGCTCAGCCAGCCCCGGCTCCACACCTGCCTCTCAGTTATTAGTCGCTACCCAAGCAGCTGTCCTTCAGCCCTGGGGCTTTTCCGTTTCCGACTCCAAAGTGCCACTGAGCTGAATTTGCCCTCTGAGACCTCACATCCCTGGGGAGGGAGGCATCAGGTCGCCTGCCACCGCTCTGCTCCCGTGGCAACAACATCCCAGTTGCATTTCTTCTGTCCCTGCATCTCTCTGACAGGCAACCTAGCGCCTCGCACAGCCCTGATCGTCTGCTGCAAATCCCAGGCCACCCTCCCCACTACGCCTCTTTCCTGGAGAACACTTGGATGCTTCTCCACCCACCATCCCATTCATACACAGCGGATGAAGGTTCTGGCTGAGTTTGGTCTCCCCACCTTCCCCCGACCACCCCCATCTTCCCATTCTTTTTTCATTTCTTGATTCCTGACTGCACAGTGAGCCAACAGCTCCCCCTCGGGAAAAGACGGGGAAGGCAGGTTTACCAGAAGTCTTGGGAGAAATCACTTTGGAAGAATGTGTGCTGTTTTGTTAAAAACATACACACATCCCCTGCCCCTCAGCTTACAGCCTCGAACTCCGTTACAACAAAGTTCCGTGTGCCTTTGAAAAGGCATATTGATTTTAAACTAAGATGACTACACTAAACCAAACCAAACAGCAAAAGCAATGAGATTTCCTCACAAGGCTTAGCTGGGATACAGGTGAGAATCCAGGGTGGCTCTTTCTAAGGATACACATGATTGGCTGGACGACATCTGATTGACAGCTCAGCCAAAAAAGGTTGGCAGGCCTGAAGGGGCGGGAGGGTTAACAGCCCGATTGTAAAATCAATGTCATAAATGCTTGGTAAGTTACAGGAACATGCGGGAAGGGGAGGCCACGATTGATAAAGGAGAACAGCTTTGATGCTTCACCAGGGACTTGTGTATCGACAGCAAAGCCAATCTCCTCTCAAGCCTGGACTGGGCCGAGAAACCTGCAAGCGTTTACCTATTAATTGGTGAGCTTTTCTTGCTCTGCTCCCTTCTTCCTCCACAGATCATCCAGCTAAGGGACTGGGACTTTTAAAAACTCACCTAACTTTTGTTTTCTATTCCTCAGCAAAAGATGTCAAGAAAAGACGACATTGTGGGCAAAGACAGATGCCCTGGTGGTGATGCGAGCCTCACAAGAGGGGACACGCTGGGGCCATTCATTTGCAGGGGGCAGCAGTCCACTGAGACACGGACAGGAAAAGAAGGACCCTGCTCCGGATCTACGGTGCCTGCTCTGGGCTTCCTTTGGGTGCGTGCTGGCCAGACGAGCAGACGCTCTGAGAACCTTGCTAGGGCAAGTGTCGTTTAGGGCCGAGTAACATGTCTTCACCTGGGAGCCTGCAAGAAAGGCAGGTTCAGCCCTGCCCCAGATCAGAATCTGCATTTTTAACACAATCCCCAGGGGATGCGCATCATCAAAGCTTGAGACGCTCTCTGCTTTACAACACCCTCGCCAGAGAGCCAGCGCCTCTGTGCTTGCAGGTGCCCATGCTGTGAGGGAACCAGACAGGCTCAGTCTGGGAGATGCAGGGATGTGGGTGGACAAGGCGGAACCAGAGCCCAGCGATGAAGAAATCTCTTAACCTGCGCCATCCTTCAGCTCAAGGACCTCAGGCCTCTACCACTCTCCCACCCGGCCAGCAGTTCCTCTCGCTCTGTTTATCAGCCAGTCAATAAGAAAAAGGTAGTTCTTACTTAAGGAGGCAGAAGTCAACCCGGCAGGTCGATCAGCACTCTGTCTGTAAACATGGTTTCCCGTAAAATCAATGATCTTCAGTTACAGAGGGCAGCCTGGGAGCCTGGCGGGTCCCCACGCTCTCACAGGCAGCCCCCCAGCCAGCCCTGCACCCTGCCTCATCCTTCACTCCGGCCAGCGCCGGCTCACACACCACGAACCCTAACCCTCCCTGCGGCCTGCTTCCCTCCCACCACTTCCTCCCCCAAATTCCCTTTAAACACACGGTGTTCCACTCGTGACCACCAATGCTGTGCTCAGCATGGGGTTTTTGTGTGTACATGTGGTTTTAAGAATTCAGTTGCATGTCACCAGAGCACAGCTCTCCAACAGGAGTCACCTAGTGCTCTCACTCTCTCTCTGCTTAGCACCTAAAGCTGCCATTCGAGGAGTAATCTTGTACAGAAGGGTTCCAGCGTCTTCATCAATCCGCCCCCCTGCTCCTCTCACAAGTTACAGTGTCCTTAGAACCTAACTGTAAAGCCCCTGCATCTGTGCCAATATCAGTCTTTATTTTTCAAAGATTGCTTAAAATGATAAAACTCCACCATGTCATCCTGGGGCCCCCCATTAACAAAGTCATCCATCTCCCTCTTTCAACTGAGAAGACGTGATGTGACAGTTTTATCACATTCCTTTAAGGAGACGGGACTGGGTTCCAGGCAGCAATGATGGGGAAGCCGGGGTCGGGGGTGCAGTTATTAGAAGGGGAGGGAGCTCCGCTGTTGCTCCAGTTCCTGGAGAATTAAACGTGAACAGTCGCACTGTGTAATTTTAAATTGTTAATTAGCACAGGGTTAATTAGGCGGTCCTTTCACAAGAGGCTGTTTGGCAGAAAACCAAGAAAGGAACAAAGGGGAAGAAAAGAAAAACAAAGAGAACGGAGCTGGTGAGAAACTGTTGCCTCCGTGAATAACCCACGCAGCAGTGCCAGAGCCACGTGAGCCGGTGGGCAAGAAATGCTGTTTCCCGGGCTCCCTACTCTGCTGGAGGCGGGATCAATGAGCACCATCTTCCTGAAGGCGATTTGGCAGTGGGTATCAAAAGCCTCAAAAATGCACGTGCCCTTTAACTCAGCAATTCCCCCATTCCAGGAAACAATCCAAGATATGCACAGAGATATAAGATTATTCATCACAGTATTTATAACAGAAAATAAAGATGGAAATAATCTGGTGAAACAAAGGACTCTAAATAAATTACTAGTGTGTAGCATTCCATAGGATGTTATAAATGTTATCATTTTTTAAAAGAAACTATTTACAGGCATGGGAAAATGGTCACGCAGGATGCTAGCGAACAAAGCCTATATTGGTCTGCATAGGGAGATACATGAGGGTCATATTAAAAATTTTTTCAATGGTAATTGCCAGGGGATGGGGTCATGGGTGACTTCATTTCCTCCTTTGTGCCTTTATTTCCCAAAGCTTTTTAAAAGGAAAACGATCTTCAGGGAAGCCATCGCTTCTTGAGTGAGGCATCACGGATAGACCGCCACCCTAGACACTCACATCTATGAAATGGGTGCTATTTTCATCCTCATTTTAAAGATGGTAAAACAGGTTGCTTGAGTTATGCAGCCTCAGTCACAAAGCCACAGTCTGGTTGTGGGGTCTGTGTTCTAAGCCACTTTACTATATTTTTCTTTAAAGTCTGTTTCTCCAAAAGAACTTCAGAACATTCGACGTTCGCATTCAATCTTCAGGAACGGGGGACGGGTCTAAGGTCACGACTGCTGCGTACCAGAACACAGCCAGTTCATCCACACCCCCTTTTTTGGCTTGGGAGACGTTGGGGGAGGAGACCCCTTTACTTGGACATTTTCACACAGGAGAGATGGAATAAAAGGAGTTCTTTGCTGCTGCAAATGGGCCCATTATCCTGATAGTCTTTCAAGAAAGGAAAAAAGGCTGATTGCAGAAACTGTAAATCAAGAAATGTGTTCATTCATTCATTCATTCATTCACTAACCCAGTCTTTACTGCGCACCTTTTATGTGTTAGACGCAAGAGAATCAATGACAAACAGGTCTCAGATTACATTCTTGTGGGGGAGAGACTGCAAACAAATAAACATAACCTTAAGCGGTGAAAAGGCTCTCAGAAGTAATATAAAACAAGAGAAGGGGAAAGAGTGATGTGTATCATCATTTTGGATAAAGTAATGATATCAGATTTTAAAAGACGT